GTACCTGGGGCTCTTGTGCTAGGTGCTGTACTTACACACAGTAAGAGACCGTCGCTGCTCAGAGGAGTTTAGAGTCTAGACAAAAGGTGGAAGACAAGGAATTGCAATTATGCCCCTTTTACAGATAAAGAAATGAGACAGAGAGACAGCATAAATGATTTGCTCACACTCGCACAGAGAAGTTTTTCTAGAGCTTGGAACCGAACCCAAATCTCCTGAGTCCTAGCCCAAGATCTTTATATAACAAAGCCACCTTCCTCTCTTAGCCAGTGAAGTGTTAGTTATGCTCTTCTCGTGTCATCTTGGAGCAGATGGTGGGGTCAGTTGCAGAGCTGGTTGGGAATTTTTCAAGAAAATATTTTTTCATCAAAGAATGTCAATTAGTTGAAACTGAAACTTTTAGTGGGAAAGAGTTGGTTTCAGTGAAGTTCTCAACTTGAAAATGTTTTTGAATAAAAACTTCAGGTTTTCAGAACATGCTGTTTTGGCATTTTTGACATGAAAAAATCCAATTTTCCACTTTGAGACAACTCTTTGTTTTGAAATAAGCTAACGAAATTAAAATAAAACATTGCAAAAGTATTGAAATGTTTTGACCCGAACTTATTCTTTTGGAGGTGTGTTTTGTTTTGTTTTTTGTTTTTTTTTTTGGTTAGAAAACATTTTTGAGCTTTTGAATTTTTGTCCCAATTCAGGACAAATCTCAAGAAATCTTTGAGGAAGGGAAAATAGTTTCCCACCCACTTCTATTCAATTGTCATTTTCTCCAAATCCAGTTTCTCTTCCCCTAGCCTAGACAAATTAAGAACAGTGAGGGAGGGAGAAGTTACATCTTCTGTTTGAAGAGATGGTGGCATCCATCCTTGGCAAGGGCGTCTCAAGCATGAATCACTGTAGGATGCTGCACACCATACTTGGTATAGAGCAGCTGGGGACAGGAAAACTAGTAGCATGGATTGTCCTTAAATCTAGAATGAAAATAATCTAGATTGAGCATTGTGAGTAAGCCCTGAGAAAGTCATTGGTGGGTCTTGCCACTCTTTAGGCAAAGCAGCAATAGGGCGTTTTTAGCTGCAGAGAGCTCCCACCGTTGTCCTAAATGTTTTGAAGCGCAAGATGATAAACTCTTTTTTAAAAAGATGAATAAAGTACAGTTATTGATATAGCTAAATCACTGAAGGCTTCCCCTGGACTGATCCCCTTCTCCAGCTCTTTCACCCACATCTACAAAGTTCTGTGCCCTTTTCTTTGCCTTTTGTCTTCCAGTGCATTCTCCAGGAGGGCAACAGGGAAGCTGATTTAGTTAGGTCTGCAGTGTACAAAAGGTTCTGCTACAACTAGGGGATAAATGATGCTGTCTCCATGGCTGTGGAGGAAACCAAATTAAACCCCACGGTCCCTGGCAGTCGACGGGCTGACGTTGGGCTCCATGTCACAGGCGATTTCTCAGGAGCAATTTGTGTAGCTAATTGCTGTCACCAATGTTTTTCCGATGCAAAGGGACAAATAAAGCAGCAGGAGCAAACACTGATGACAGCATTCAGCCCGGCTTTCAGACCACACTTCCCAGCAGACGGGCTAAGAGTTAAGTCTCTCTCACTGTGGTCTTTGGTAGCTAATATGTTCCTAGCAGTTGAGTTACTGAATCTGGGAGCTACATTTAAACAATGTGAAAAAGCAGCATAAGCCATTTTCCCTATTCTAATACTGTGCAATCGCGTTAAAATGAGCCAACCATGTACGAGGGCAAGGAGACAACTGACTAGCCAGAGAGAGACCAGGAACCAGAGGCCTGGCTCTTTGAAAGAAATGGCTGATTTTGCTCTCATAGCAAGCATAAGAAAACCTACAAGGGAGTTGTGTAAGTGTGAGCCCACTTAACCCAGTGCATCAATAGGGGCTTGAGAACTCTCTGTCCTTGAAGGGTGTTGGGAAACTGGGCAGTCAAGCATCAGTGGTAAGCAGAAATTGACTCACAGCATTAATCTTACCAAAATAAGTTAATGGTGTATTGACCAAGGTAAAAGCCTAAATCAATGTCAGTTCTTAGTGGCGTGGTAGATCAATATGTCTTTTGATACTGATAAAAAACACAGGAGTCATGTATTCGCAATAATATAAAGTTCTTCTCTGCAGCTCCTTCTGCATTGACTGGAGACAAGAATGGGAGTAAATGGAAGGCCTCCTTGGAGATGATCAGGCACTGGGCAGAGAGGTGGTGGTTAGGTTTCTTATGGGCCATACTACTCTAGATTATAAAAAATATATGTGCTTGACTCTAAATACATACACTGAGGTCATTGGCAGAGAGGTGGTTAAACATGGGGGGAGAGAGGTGGGCGTAAACCCATCCACCGTTCCTCTTAAATAAATAAAAATCAGGACTGTCCTCTGAAAATCATGGGCAACTCTGAATGGTTTCGTTCTCCTCCACTGAACAAAGATTGACTTTTTCTTGTGCAGCAAGAGCCAGCGTAGCTGCCACTCATTTATACAATGTTCAGTCTGTGCCCGTTATTACCAGCAATTTTCATAGCAAGAATGCGGCACAGCTTTGAGAATCGAGTTTTTACATACAAGCTTGCAGTAGAGGGCTCGTTCATTGCTTCTTGGCATGTGGCACTAAACTGGTGGCTCTTGGTTTGGTTTTAGTTATTTCTTGGCAATGAGATGGAAGATATTTGGTTTTCTTTAAGAGCATTTAGTGTTCCTGCAAGATGCCGGAATGGCAGCTCTGACGTATTCTTTTTGTCCTCCTAATAGGAACAGTACGCACAGCCGCCCTGCCAGTGGGCTTTACCCTGTGCTAAAGGTAGCGGCTGAGAGGGGAAAGTCAATTTTCATGGACCATTCAGTTCTTGGTCTCTCTGCTGATCTCGCCAATAACACGGGAATTATAGCTGTAATGGAAAGTTCTTCATTAAGAGCCTGACGCAAAGCCCATTGGAGTCAATGGGGGACTTTCCACTGACTTTGGCTCAGGCCCTTGGGAATGTACGAAGACTCCCAAATTTATTTTGCATAGGTGACCAAAGAACCAACCACTTCTGGTCAGGGAAAGGGTTGAACAAGTAGCCTAGACTTGAAAGCTCCCTGTGCCATTATCAATGGGATATTATATTTTTAAAAGGGGTTTTTTTAAGTTTATATGTTTATATACACACACAAAGGCCATTGGTCTCCTGGAAATGGCCATTTTAGTGTGGGTCAAATTATTTTTGGCCTAAATCTGTTGAACAGTTTCCCATTCTGTGGCTCTTGATGCCTCAGAAGAAATAATATATGGAGATATACCCATCTCATAGAACTGGAAGGAACCCTGAAAGGTCATCAAGTCCAGCCCCCTGCCTTTACTAGCAGGACCAAGTACTGATTTTTGCCTCAGATCCCTAAGTGGCCCCCTCAAGGATTGAACTCACAACCCTGGGTTTAGCAGGCCAATGCTCAAACCACTGAACTAGCCTTCCCCCCGTTTATAAACTGTGCTGCTCATATCTCACTTTGGTGACATTCTTGTTCATGTTGCCTGTCAGCTGATTAGGAGAGTTGAAGAGAAGCTCTTTCAGTGTGTGTGACAGGATGGTTTCCCTGGAAGCCCGTTGTAATTTTGTGTCTTCCTGAGTTTCCTCTGTTTAAGCTTTGGGCTCATCTGCTGGGGGTCTTGGATGATTGCGGCTACTCTGAGAGCTGCCTGGAAATTTAGCTAATTGGTAATCATTTCATAAATTGCCACCTGGTTCCTATTAAGGAGCCTGATCGAACTCCTACTCAAGCCACTGGAAAGACTCCCATTGACTTTAATGAGAGTTGGGTTGGACCCTAAATCAGATGATGGTGAAGATGAGATATAAAGCCACGTGAGCCTCTAATCTCTCTTCAGTGGAACTCACCAGCTTTGGTTTGCTTGAGTCTCAGTGAACCGCAGTGGCTGGTTTGCTTTTCATGGTTTTAATGATTTGAGGTTCCAAAACTCATCACAAAACTCGGAACAAAACAATGCAAACCCAAGTGAAGTGCATTGAATCCAAAAACACTGGGCTGTCTCCACCCCACCCGTGGCTCCCTAGCATCTCCCCACCTGCAGACATTTTCAGGGAGCAGATGAAGGCCCCTGTGCCCATCTTCAATCACTGGAGCCATGCCGTCTCCTCATCTGCAGTGTTTGGGGCACTAGCCTGCCACTCCCCAAACCCCCAAGATATCTTGCTTGGATGAACTGTCCGTTCCAGGTCCCACTGCTGCCTCTCCACTTTCAATCTACCTCTTTCCTAGGCTTGAGATGTTCCCTGAGTGCCCTCATGGTAAGAAAGCCCCGGTTTCCTGGTTATCAGGCAGTGTTTTCTAGGATGTCCCGGGCCCAAGAATAGAATAAGTCAGTAACAAGAAGGCAGTAGCAAGTCCCAGTGGAGTAACTGAGGCCCTGTTGCTAAAGGAAGGGTGAGTAGGCAGGCAGGCAGAAGTTTTACCCTGAGGATGTGGAGAGGAATGGGTCTACTTTGCCAATTCCAGCACCATCCAAACACTGTAGAGGAGAGGGTGGGACCCCAGGGAACCTAACTCCTGCCCCAAAGTCAGAACTATGTAGAGATGAAAAGCGGGTGAGTTCTATTTCGCTCTTTGTTATTCAGGTCCCTTAATCCTCAGCAAGTCTCCCCACAAACAGGTCTCTGCTAACAACCAACCGTCCAAAGGGAGACTAAAAGATAGCTGCATAGGCCCATATTTTATAGTTGCTGTTGCCATGATCAAAGATAGCTTGCAGCCGGATGGGAAAATTAAATGTCAGCATTGGAATGCATGAAGGTCACTGGATTCCATTACTTAAGTAATGTATACAGATCCATTCTGACACATTCATTTGTTAACATGGACCACAAAGCTCAATGAGGAACTCAGGTGTAGACATGTAAATGGGAAAGACTTCTCCATGCGGAACCGATGGGACCTTCAGACCCTGTCATTCTATCTTCTTTTATTTCCCCCTTCTCCTTGCTTTACAGGACTGGCTGACTAAATTTGGCTACCTGCCTCCTCCAGGCCCTGTCACAGGACAACTGCAGACCCAGGAAGAGCTTGCAAAAGCCATCACAGCCATGCAACAGTTTGGAGGCCTAGAAGCAACAGGGATACTAGGTCAGTCGAAAACAAGCACTTTCTTCTTCTGTTTCATTTTGATGATCAGCTGCAGAGATGTCTCTTAATAAGATTGGGGAGGGAGGTGCGTTCTCCTATACCACTGAGCCTGCAGAAGGATGACTGTGCCGGTCCCAGGAAGATCTGATGCGAGTGCAACAACGTACGGCCCAGTTTGCAGTTATAAGGAGTAATTACATGGCTCAGGTGCTTTGTTGCCTTGCGTTTTCAACAACCTGAGGCGGGCAATTATTTCACTAGCCCACATGCCCACGGGGTTCTCGTTGTGCTCAGAATAGCTCTTGATGGGTTTAAAAAAGGAGAGAAACCATCAGAACTGCCGGGTTGGTTGGGTTTTTTGAATCATTGATTACATCATCCAATTGAGGAAAAAAGAGCTAATTAATCGCCCAGATCCGTATATTGAACTAGTCTATTGTTATCCTTCTTTTTGACAAAGAGGGGTGGGGGGGGAAAGATTGTTTCTAAAAGTCCGACTCCCGACTGTTCTTTTTGTCTTTTTCTCCTGCTCATTATACTGGTTTGCATTGAATTATTTTTGAAGACCGCTAGGCTTTTTGGCTTTTCTCTTTGCTAAGAAAGCCAGAGCTATTGTCAGGCTCTCAGCCACAGCAGTTTGCAGCTGCAGAAGGATGGGCTCCTGGCTTAACCCCAGGGTTTAGGGGTTTGGGATTCTGTTCCTGGCGACTCTCTGTATGACTGGAGGCAAGTCCTTAACCTCTTTGCGCCTCGGTTTCCCTCTCGGTGACATTGGATTCATTAATGGTTGTGAAGTGAGAGCCTCAGAAGGAAGGAATGATAGACTTATGAAAGATTACTGTTGTTGTTGTTGTTGTTTAGATCCTGTGACGCTGAGCGCTCCTGTGTATCCTCGTGTTCCTCCGCCTCTTCAAGAAAAGTAGTTGCTCTAGTTAAAAACATAACAAGTCAATTATTTTCTTGCCTTATTTATTCCCACCCAAAGCAGTTCAGAGTCTTACTATTAGGTTCACCACACCTGAGCCCTCCAATAGACTTCTCCCTGAGCTCCAGGGATGGGATCTAGGAAACTGATCCAGCTCCTGTTGAAGTCAATGAAACGACTCCCTTGGAGTTCCATGGGAGTTGGATCAGACCCCCGAAGTGCAAGTCTCTTCCTGGCCTGTTGGCCTCATGCACTGCTGTGGAGTTGTCCAACCCTTTGCAAGTCCAGGTTGGCTGAACCCCACTCTTGCAATGTTGGGACTGGGTCAAGTGCATTCCCGTCCCGACGGTTCAATCAGCCCCACGAGGAATTAGCAGTAGGTGAGCATCAAATGATTCCATGGTGAAGTTTGGTCGACATAAGCACACACAAGACCGGGGCTGGGATTTTCAAAGTCGGTTCTGCTTTTCTCTGAATCTGAGAAGATTTGTTAGGGACAAGCAAACAGTTGTTTTCATTTTAAAAAGGAGGGGGGAAAGTATCATCGTAACCCTCCTAAAGTCTCCTTGTCTCTCCCTGCCTGGCCACAGTTCTTACACATAGAAACAACCTGCTGTGGTGAGGTCAGTTTGCTTTCACTGCCTTTATTTAGGAGAGAGTTAGCGAGAACCTGCTAATTAGCAGGCTCTCCTCCTTTGCCAAGTCCAGGCTGTGGCTTGGCAGCTCTCGGCAAGTCCTTCTCTGAGCAGCTGCTTCCCATGTCATTTAAACAGCTCTCTGTCCACGTTTCTTATCAGCTCATCACTGAGATGCTTGCTTTCCATTTTTAATTAAATACATGAAATTATCTTTCTTTCACATCTTATCAGAAACACCGAGAGGCCCAGGAGCAAGATGGATTTCTTGGTTTGGGGTTTTTGTGTGTGTGTGAAATTATGAGCATAGTTTAAAATGGACTTCACCGGCTTTTCCTTGTGAATTGGGGGTTTGTGTTTTGAGATTTTTGTTTTAAATAAAAATATTTAATTTCCCTTTTTTTAGAATAAAAGTGTAAGGCCAGATCTGTAAATTGGTACGTCCACAGAGTCCTGCTGGTTGTGGAGCCAGCCCTTGACAATTTTATTCCATTCCTAATAAAGAAACTTACTAATGAAGAAAAGAATATTAGTATCTTGCAAATCAATTTCCAGTCTAACATGACTATGGTATATTTGTATGCAAATACTACCCTGCTTTGCCAGGGGCGTGGTGGGAATCCAGATTAAAGAAGAGACTAAGGGCACGTCTACACAAATCAGCAATGTGCTCTACGGCAGTGTGATTTCTAAAATGCACTGAAGTGTTGAGCACTAACTGGTCCACGTAGACTGTGCAGGTGTGAACTAAAAGTTCCCTGGTGCACTTTAACGTGGGAAGAAATGTGCTGTCATCATTCTACCCTGGTGCCATTTGCCAAAGGGCGTGCATTATGAACAGGGCACCAGGGACGACAAGGCTCTTGGTTTCCTATTTCTCATCTTTTAAAATAGTACATAGCCAGTGTTAAGGCCAGGCCTAACCCATGCATTCAAAGAGGCTTTCCATTCCCGATACTTTCTTGTACCTTGCTTGCTAACTGCCTTGCTAACAACTTGGCTCCCCCCGCCCCCATAGGTGATTCTTGGGACAGATAAACCAGCCCTGCAACAGCATTTTTGCTCCAGTTGTGTCATTTTGGAAAATGAGACTTTGTCCTTATTTTGGGACTTGTTAATGATTACTGCTATCCTGTTTTGGGGGGCAGGGGTTTAATAGCCATAGCATAATAGCAATGCAATCCGCTCCATGATTGGGAACGTTCAGTGTCAGCACACACAATTATTCCAGCGTGTGCGTGTGTGGAGGTGGGGCATGGTCTCAGCTGCATAGCTGTTCCTAATCAACGATGAAGAACCTTGTTAATATCAGCAATCCGCCTGTGAGACACATCCCCTCGTCCCTGCTGCCCAGGCCGCGTACGGCACCAGATCGATTGGTGGTGGGGTAGAAAATGGCACCCAGTGCGCTGTAGAAGATCTAGAAGAAGAGTCATCAGTGCTATTTTCCCCATATAGTTTCTTTAGGCAAGGGAGATATTTCCCACTCCCTAACCCAGCCCTGGTTGCTGGGCATTTCCAATCGTGTTAAAAGTTACAGTCCGGATCAATACAGTTTTAAAAGCCTACGGCTCTGTCGACAGCCCTGTGGTGAGCAGAGTGAATGCTGGTACCGGTGAGATGGAAGAGCATTCCCTTCTAGGTCAGGGAGAGATTGAAATGGCCGCTGGCGTGTTTTAAGGGGAACATTATCACTGCTGCATTGCCACCATTTGCCTGATAAGCCCACCGCATTGCACGAAACCAAGGTGTCTGTAATGCTCATTCCCTCCCTCCCCTGTGCTCCCCTCAGTGTCGTAAGGAAAGGAAATTAATATTTTTACCACCCGGTTTCACCCTCTGAAAGCAGAGATGTTAGACCAATTTCCATCACAGTATTTCAAGGCGCTTTCTTTTTATGTGTGTTCTTCTTTGAAATCTAGATGAAGCTACACTGGAATTAATGAAGACACCTCGTTGCTCTCTACCTGATCTTGCTGAGTCAGAGACCAGAAAGAAGCGGCACACTCAGGCTGTGACAAAGTGGAATAAAAGGAACTTATCTTGGAGGTAGGCATTCATCTTTCACTATTTCAGTGTCACAACAAGGAATCAATCATAGACAGAGCTGAGTTAAATCAGGCTGGCAATGAGGTGGAACGTGGCTGTGTTAAAATGTGTTCTTTCATGCTCCCAGACCCCATCAAGCCAGGTTTTTAAACTATTCTTCGCACCTGCCCTAGTTGCAGTCTCGATTCCCAGTCCTACAGCAAACTGCAATAACAAACCCATATCTGATAGATCTGACGCAGGGAAGTAGCTGGGTTTCTTTAGCCGAGTTGCAGCGGTTGGGAGCTTATTTGTCTTGAATGCTTTGGGTTCCCGGCTTCCCTTTGTCAGACTCCAGCAGGTTTGGACCCGCCTGGATTCTCCTCCTGGTTAAGAGAGGAGGATGTATGAGCCTTTTTTGGACCCACAGATGATCTTTTCCCCCACCCCTTTCTCTCCCTTCCTTAAAAACCATGTGTAACCCACAGCCACTCAATGTGGCATTGTGTCTCCCTCGAGAGGTTGAGGAGCCTGCTACGGCCTTTGTTAATGGAGTCTTTTAGCTGAGGCAGCGTTTAGATCCAGAAGTCCCGGGTTCGAGCTTTGCTGTTGATAACCCACCCTGGGGGGCGTGATATTACACATATGGGATGCTCTTTACCTGTCTCCCCCGGTGGAGATTGGAAGCCTCGTGAGCCTTTTGGGACCCAGGGATGATTTCTTTCGCTTTCCTCCCCCACCCACCTCCTATTCTCTCCCCCCCCTCAAAGACTATGGATCATGCTGACTGTTCTTCAAACCATGACCAAAGAAAGCAGGATGCTGCTTTCCCTGCTCATTGACTTGCCTGTCAGGGGTTGCTGCAGAGTCCAACTAGCTGATCCTGCTATCCCAGAAACACGAGCTCGCAGCTTGTCGAGAACTCCCTGTTAATAAGGTCCAAGCTGAAAGGCACCAAGCCAGATGTAAACTTTGAGTCCACACGTATTAGTGTAACCACTAGCTATCTGGAGGAAGCCCATTCAGTAATAATGTACCTTGACCCAGCTACTGCAGTTGACAGGCGTTGAAACGGTGACATTAGGTGGAAAATTGCTTTATTTTTCAGCATTATCCAATGGGGATCTTATTTTGAGGGGTGATCTAAATAACTAACATTTAGCTGTTAATTTCAGCATAAAAAGCTCGTGGAGAGATTCTAAGAATGGGACCCTAAGGTGTTGCTATTAATTAATTCTTAGTGATCAAGAGAAGACCAGTGGGTAGAAGAGTGACCTCTTCTGGTTACCCAATATAAGAGCCCAGAATCATTTAAGACCTGTCTGCTTAAGAGACTACCTTACCCCTTAGCAGTTAAGATGAGTGACTGGGGTTCTCTTGATGTCTGTTCCAGAGAAAGAAATTCTCTTTGGGATGAATCAGTGGCGCTTTCTGCCTCTGACATTCTGCCAGACTCTCAGGGCCAGACCCTCAGCTGGTGTAAATTATGGAGCTCAGGGCCGGCTCCAGCTTTTTTGCTGCCCCAACCGGCGAAGAGAAAAAAAAATAAAAAAAAATAAAGCTGTGATCAGCGGCTGCTCTACCGCGTCGCTTCATTCTTCGGTGGCAATTCGGCGGCCGGTCCTTCCCTCCAAGAGGGACTGAGGGACCCGCCGCCAAAGACCCAGACGTGCCGCCCCTTTCCGTTGGCCGCCCCACGCACCTGCTTCCTGTGCTGGTGCCTGGAGCCGGCTCTGAGGGAGCTACACCAAAGGCTCTGACTCTGTTTGGTGACCTTCATGGCATCTACCAAAGCATCCTGGTACTGTGAGTCACTAGCACCAGGTTAGGGTGAGGAATGTAGAGAGGCAGTGGGCCTAAGCCAACCATTCAGTTGACTTGACCTGTCTGGCACGTGTCCATTTCAGATTCATTATGAGGTTTTGTGATGCGTCCGCAAAGGAGTCCATAAAAAGGCGTCACTGGGTTTGTGTCTTGAAATGGTTTAATGTTGGTGGTATAAAACTCCCATCTCCTGACAACTGGGTTAGACTTTTTCGCCGCCTTCTGCTCGATTCCAGTGGTCTGACTTATGTTCAACGGGGCTGTGTTTTATATTTGGAGGTTATCTAAGCATGGGAGAAGCCATGGCCACACAGGAATGATTATATGGTATTTATGCCCAACACTCAAGCCTGGCATTAAAATTTACCAGCCCAGGCACAAAATTCACTTGCTTTTACCACGATGATTGAGGATAATGAAAAAATGCTCATGCATCCAAAGAAATGGTGAGGCAGGATAAACAAGCCCGTGGGAGTTGTGCGAGGCTGCCCCACGGAGGGGCCTTTGGACTCCCCAGAAAGGGGCATCTGATATATTTTGTGATGATGGAAAAGCAAAGACATCAGGTTTAAAATGTGGAAACAAGATTTGAAGGTGATGCCGGTAAATCATGTCTCTCTGTGATTTATTCTCTGGTCCCTCCCCAGGTGCCTCTGTGCAGCCAAACCCAAGCAGTTAGAGGTCTCAGAATAGTGGGATAGGTGCTGCATACAATTGTAGGTCCATACATATGCGTCCTTCCAAGATATAGCCCACATGGTAAATTTCCAGCAGAATAAGACACACAACTCACCCTATTTTCAACAAGCTTTTGGCTGGAAAATGTAACCTCACATAGTTACCAAGACACTCAAAAAGTGTAATGCGCTCAAGCTGGGAATGAAATAAATTTGGGATTTATTTCTGATTTTTTCTGTTGAAATGACTTGAAAAACAATATTAACTGGAGCCCTACTTCCCATGGGGTAGCTCGTGTGGATTGGGCAGGGGAACTGGGGGTTGGTCTGTGGGGTAACAGTGCCCTCTGCTGGTGCTAGCCAAAGTTAATTCAAATGTCAATATGGCACAAGAGAGGGTTCATCATAACTGATAGAAATTAGAGAAAGGAACAGTGTATGTTATCATCTGCTGCCAGTTTCCTGAAGGATATTCCCCCCTGATTTTCAGCCTAAATGTCCCTTTGTTTAATATCATTTTATTACTTCCAGTTATACCTTATTGAAGGACAACTCATATAGGGAGTTTCCATAAGGAACTGCGATTGTTGCACTCTTCCCATAATGCGTTACATTTCTATTGCACTTTGCACCAGTGCTGCACAGTGAGTTAGTGATCAGTGATGAAAGGACTTGTGCTAACTTAGAGGGACTATATGGGCCCAAAGAGTTCAAGGTGTTAACATGACTCTGTTACTGTCTAGCACTGAGCAGGGTGAACCAAGGTTTGAGGTCTGGTATACGCAGAGCGTGGCCTGTTTAGTACCATGGCAAGCACACTGCTAAAGTTTGGAGATTTATGGGTTGGGATACATGAAAGAAAAGGAGCTAAAGCAAGTTTTAAAGCCCTTTAAAACTGAAATGGAATGATTATATAAAACAAACTTAACCAAAACCTATCAACGTTCTTTTTTAAAAAGTTAGTATTTTATTGGACAACCTTTCTTGGGGGGAGGGGAGGGAGAAAGGGGCTAGTTTTGTTGCTTAGTTCTGAGATGTGAAGGATGGTGTCATGACCCATGGGGGGGTCTCAAACCCAGGCCTGTAAGGGTGCTGAGAGCAGCCCCACTCCAACACTCCACCAAGCAGGCTGCTGAAATTAGCGTACCTCAGATACACAAAACCCAGCCCCAGTGGAAGGCTCCGCCCCGAGGTTTGATTGGCAGAGTCCCAGAGTGGCTGATTGGCCCACTGGCCCTACTTAATCCAACAACAGGCACAAGAAACCGAACTGGGCTCCACCATGCTGTGGACTGTGTGTGTCCTTGGCTTGATGTCCTGGCCTCTGACCCGTGGTTCCCAACCTCCAGTTTGTCATCTGCCTCTGGTTCCCCCCTGGTGGTTCTGATCTCATGTTTGTCTGCTGCTTCTGACCTGGTATCCTGACCCCGCTGACTCTTGACTCCTGTCTTGCAGCCTCTGGTTCTGACTACTAGGTCTGGCTACCCACCATCCAGCCGTGACAGATGGTCACTTTCTCTGCTTTTGACAAACAGAAAAGTGTGAGGGGAAAAGAGACAGGATAGTAAAGATGGAGAAATATGGTTTTTGTTGATATTCTTGAGGTTCTGGGTTGGCAGGTCAGCTGCAACAGCAGTTGCTCTGGGTTCTGGCTCATCTCCCGGTCTGGGACATCATCTGACTGGGCTGGTCTCTCTCAGGCTGAGCAGAGCTGCATGGGCTGTCCTGTCTCATTGTGCTGGTGCCGTGTGGTAAGCCGAAACAAGAGAGACACAGAGAGACACATCATAGGAGGAAAAATAGTGGGGCAGAAAGGAACACGCAAGGGAAGGGGAGACAGAGCAGGATCTTGTGTGTTTCTGGCTGGAGTCTTTGCTGGTGCGGTGGTGATGGTCAAGTGTCCCTGCTGAGGTCTGGGCTTCATGATAATGCAATGATTTCCAGGGTCCAAGGGCAAAGGGCAAAGTCCCTGAAGTGGTGTGGAGGCCTGACAGCCTTTCTCCTCCTCCAGAAATCCCAGTCAGTCCGTGGCCCCCCACTGAAAGAGAGGTGATGAGCGGAATAGTCCATCCTCTCATTATTTGGCCTACCTAGAAGATCTAATTTTCAACGCACCAGTTTTGGTTCATTGATTTCCAACCCCATGCTTCTCTTCATAGATTCCAAGGCCAGAGGAGATCATTGTGAACATCTGCTCTGAGCAGAATGTACTTTCTTTTGTTTCCTGGGCATGATTGTCACACAGTCTGTCAGTTATGTCAGTAGGTCTTTTTGTTTGGACTAATTCTGTTTTTCTGTCTCCCTTTTGCACCTTCTTCCTTCAGCATTTATTGTGATGTGTTATTGGAACATTTTGCAAACTTTTATTCACTTTCCCACAGTTGAGCTCACAATTAGGGTAAATTTGTAGACCTAGTTCTTATAAGAGGACTCTGAAATCTTCGACCCTGGTATTAATGCTGTGCACTTTGACAGCATCTTGTGATACTTCACAAGTATCCATTAATTAATCCTCAAACA